ACATTACAGCATTGCCATTACAAAGAAAACAAATGCATATATTTAAGTTAATAAATCGATAAACCAACACCTACACGGACGAACTCATTGGCAAAGAAGCGCATAGTCTGAATGACCTCGAGTATGAAAGTTAATTTTAAAATAATTTTGCTTTCCAATATGATGTCTCGGAAAAAGTATGTTCGAACGGAATTAATATACGAAAAAAATAAATATTTATAAGAGGCTAAGTGAACTTTGAGTCAATACTATTTATTTGAAGAAATATTAAAATGTTCAAAGCAAACGAAAAAGGAGCCAATGTAAACTAAACAAATATATGCTTAAAACGGAATAATTATAAAGTGAAAGGTCGGTGGGTAGTATAAATATATTTTATTCATGTTCTAAAAATACCGGCCAAATGATGAGTTAATGTAGGACAGACACAGAGTGAATAAAACGAAGGGAAAGAAAATCTCATAAAGTTAGTGAGTGATAAGAGCATTTAGAATGTAATAAAGGAATCCTCGAATGTATACATGGGTACATTAAATTAAAATACTGGCAGAAGAGGGGAGACAGAAAAGAGGAGTTTAAAAAGACAGAAACTAATTTAGTCTAAGCAGAACGGAAAACCTAATAGGACGACCGGTGCAGGTTGGACCAATAAAGAGTATCGCGGCTGGGCTCAAAAGCACACAAGATATAAGAAGCATAAGCTTTGGATGGAAAGTAATTAGTAAAAGAAAAGCAGTGACTACAAAAGGAAGAGGTAATGAGAGGTAAAACTAGGATTACCAAGATACCTATCGCCTATTTTATTTTGTAGTTTACTTCAAGAAGTATGCATAAAAAACGAGTAAATATAAGGCCGGAATAATTTTTGGCATACAAGAGCCCGCTAGGATCTTGAGAGGAAAATAAATGTATACACGAATGTATCCATTAGAATGATATGCTAGTATTAAAATTATCAGCGTTATGAATGATGCAAAGCAGCAAGCATGATATGAGCAAGAATATGAAAGTTGTAGAAATCAAAGCATTGTTTTTTTCTTTTAAAAAATGTAAAAAAATTAGGCGATTCGAAAAATGGCCCCAAACAACCAAAATATCTGAGATTATAGAATGAATATAAGAATATATGTATAGACACACATGAACGTGTGCAGAGAAAATTAATCCAAAGTCAAGTGAAAAATTTGATGGAATTTTGTAAGCGAATATTCGAGAAAAATTAGAATAACTAATAAACTGTCTAGGCGAATTTACTTGTGAAAAAGAAAGAGTGAATGAGTAAAATAAAAGAGCAGTGCACAGAACAGGAATGCAAATGTTCGTGAGCCGAGGCAAGTGTGCATGAGGCGATAATCAAGCGTCATTAAAAAAGAGGTCTGGAAGTAGCATCATTTATTTGCAACGAGGTTAAAGATTAGGAACCTAACTAATACAAATAAATAGAGTTAAAGAAAAACAAGGAAGAATGATAACTAGGAACCTAAAGCAAAAAAGCGTGCTCGGTTCAGAATAATACAGAAAAAGACAGACCAAAGGAAAAAACGTATCCTGGAGAAATGCTACTTTGAGCTCATAAGAAGCTCTAACATCCACATGGAGCGTTGTAATGACCTATTTCCAAACATAGTTTAGAGAAAATGGGCATGCAGACGATAGTTTAGAATTGGTTTCAAAAAAAGCGGAAGCAAACCACAGACTAGTGTGCCGTCCGAGTATCGTAGCTTATTAATAAGGAAAAAGTCAATTGTGCAATCACGTACAAATAATAATACTGATCACGAAATATCTTCTGGTATAGAAGGAAATGAATGTAACGAATAATAAAATGAAAAAAGAATTAAGGAAAAAACATATGAGAAGCAGGACGCCGAAAATCATGTTATTCATTGAAAATCTCTTGCGCAAATAGTTCATAGTCAAGAGCCCCGATGTCGCCTTTCCCTCCAGTGAAGAGCTTCATTCTAGCGATACAGTACTCGGCATCTTCGTGGGGTAGATCCCGACGCAAATCTGCCTCTGTAACATATCCCTAAAAAATAAAGATTTAATAAAAGGTTTATGTATATAGGAAATACAAAAGAATGTAAACTGGCAGTGATGGATTGTGAAAAAACAAGTAATTTAGAAATGGGTTGACCTCGTTGTCGCAACTTGGTCTTGTTGTCAGGGTGACTATGTAGAACGCATCTAGTCCGAAGTCGTCTGCCATAGTAATTGTCATGATTCCCAGCATCTGACAGTAGACTTGATACATTCTCAAACTTTTTGCCGGCATCGTAGTCGGCATCATCAGTCAGCTTTGCCATTCTCCGCACCAAGCTACGAACTCGTCAGAGAAAAGTGAAGTCAATCCCTCGACAACCGTTCTGCCGAAAAAGGAGTAAGTGTAACCGTTTCCGGCAGAACGTTTGTCTAGGGATTGACTTCACTTGTCTCTTTGACGAGTTCGTAGCTTGGTGCGGAGAATGGCAAAGCTCACTGATGATGCCGACTACGATACCGGCGAAGCGTATCAGGTCTACTGTCAGATGATTGGAATCATGACAACTACTATGACAGACGACTTCGGACCAGGTGCGTTCTAAATAGCCCCCCAGACAACAAGACCAAGTTGTGACGAGGTCAACCTACTTCTATAAATCGAAAGAAGACTGCGACCATAATAGAGGTCAATCATCTTGGTCTTCATATATTCAAGTAATTTAGGTTTAGTGAATTATTTAACCTTTTCATTATTACTTTGATGCAGTTAAGACGTTTCAAATCAAATTATGCTGCTGCTAGGAACGAATATCTTAAGAAGTATCAAACGATAAAAAGCCACATAGTGAAGATGTCCAAACAAAATTGAGTAGATAAGTCTCATGCCTTAATTGCAACAAAGCTTTGTTAAATCAGAAGGACTTCGATTTCTTTCTTAATCAGCAAACCCTATCGTGAACCACTAGTAGTAACATATTAGCTCTCAATCTAAAGGAGATAAAGCTAATTATCAGAGAAAATGCGATTTTTAAGGCGAAACAGGAATTCCTTAATTCGTATGTAGTAAAACCAAACAAACTCTAGTTTCCGCCAGTTTAAGTAAAATCGTTAGGGACAGTTAAAATAAACATTAGAAATCTAAAAAATATTGAGTGTATGCGAGAATCTACTATCTTTTGAAAAAAGTCATGTGAATCAGAAAATGGTTA